AAACCTGTAAAGGATCCCTGTAGCCGTGTCATTGTTATAGTACTGCTGTTAAGAAGGCCACGGTACTGTAACACTATTAAACCAGTTAGACAGCCAAGAGGTTCACTATCTTCATTACAAACAGAAGAAGGTATAGAAAATTATCACTTATCACAATACTTAAATAATTTAGATATATTTAATACAGAAGATTTAGAGAGAAATTATACTATAAAACCTTTTCAAAGATCTTGCCTACAGTGAAGCAATGTCTCTGCTAGAATTGATAAAGTAGAAAAGGAGATAAATGAAACTTGTGATATAGTAAATCAATTAACTAATCAATTTCAAAAAGTATATATACGAAAATGTGATATTTGTGAGAGTCAGGCCATAGCAAAAAAAATTGTCCTAATAGACAAATAGCACGATCTAATTTTAATCGGTCTGCTTATTTTAAGCCTTTTATACTTATAAATTTCCAAAATACACCTCCAGATTCAGATAATGAGGAAGATGGTTATGATAAAGAAAATAATAGATAGATTGTATATGATATATCTAAAAAAAAAACAGATATCAATAGAAAATAACCAGCCTGAAATGTATAATCAGCTATTGTCTAAGTTTTTACTACCAATCTAGAAAATGTGCTTGTCCTGAAAGGCTCTGGAGGAGTTAAAAAAATCAGATGAGTGGTTTTCATTTTTACAGTATTTGTATTGTAATATAAATGATCTAACAATTCCTGATTCTTTCTTGGATACTGGAAGTGAATTCGGTATAATAAATGATCTAGCAATTCACACACTTGGATAGAAGATTGATGAGCTACTGATTTTTTTATAAAGGGAAATTTTAAACATATTACTGAATCATTAGGATGGTATATAGATGTGCTAGTTACTCTGAAAGATAAAGAAAACAAAACTATCACAATTATTAGAATTTTGTTCGTATTAATAATAGCGAATCTGAACCAATACTATTTTTAGATATGTCAAATATTCGAAAGCTTCAAGGCACCTTCGAGCCAAATAAAAACCAGTTCCACATAAAGTTATATGAGAAGACCTATGTTATTCCAACATATAGCAAAACTCCAGTAGCTAAGAATCTACCAAAAGAAAAGCAAAAAGTAGTTCCTCAAGAATCTCTCCTGAATGATTCAGCCCAAGTTTCCTCTAGCCTGACTAGTAAGAATGATTTAAAAAAAGTGCGAAGAGCTTGAAAAGTAACTTATAAAAACTGAAAAGTGGCTTGATATGGCTCTAAATGCAGGTAGAGTTCTTGCAGAAAGATGCTCTCAGCTTACTGAGGCAAAGACGGGTATATAGGAGCTAATCTTTCAGTATTTTTCATTAATTTTTCAAGATCTACTTTTCTTCTAGATATATTGTTTATAGAAAAAACACCTTTTTTTACTGCACATGAGAAAGTAGGCTCACCTTCGGCTTGCTTTGCAATAGAGCTTTGAATCTTTGGTTGTTCTATCTCTGCTGATTTATTCAGTAAAACTTCAGAGCAAATTGCATCATTTATATTAACTTTGTTTTTCTGGTTAGCCTTTGTTAATAATATCGATTCTATAGTATTAGAGTTATCATTATCATCATATAAGTAGGGTATAGGTTGGTTCCAGAGAACTCTATTAGCTTCTTCTCCCTTCCAAATTTGATAAATACGTTTTGTTGATGTTTTATACTTATCTATCAAGTTATTTAAAATTTTATATTTTGGTTTTATATTATGACATTGCATAATATAAGAATAATCTTCTAGAGAAAATAGAGATACATCAGATCGTATATGTACTCTAGATATAGTAGTAAATATAATACAAGATGTTTATATCTAACAAAAAATATAAAATATACTGAAATAATAAAATATATTAGAAAAATAAAATATACAGGATACTATTATTTATTTTTTTATATAAGAGATATGTATATTTTATCTAATACATATATTCTATCAAATATATCATTACAAATATATAGATATATTCTATATAATATATTACATTCAAATACAAATATATTTATTTTTTAGATATCTATAATAATTAGATAATATGTCTCAAATTCATACATTGACAGATATAGGCAAAGGCAATAAACTCGGGAGTATACCATCTAATCAATATCCACCTAGTCGAACAGAACTTGAAAACTAGCTTGTTTGTGCAAATCAAGATCAAGAAATTGCTATAGAGTGTGGTAATCGACTTGCTAATAAATGCTCTGTCTTGGATAAAGACAATAAGCATATACAACATGATCTAAAACAATCCAATAAAGATAAAGAGAAACTTTCCAAGCAAGCTTTCTAGCTTATAAATAAGGTTAAATGATTGTGTTTAGAGTTAGATAATCTAACATCTTAGATTACTCGTAAAAGATTCATACAAAATTAAAAGAGATGAAAGCTCTCTAGTCTAAGATAAAAGCATTGGAGACAAGACTATCTTCAGCTCAGAAAGACTCATCTATAAAAGAATCTGAGATTGATTATCTTAGGGTCAAATTATCTGCCTTGAATTCTAATCTAGCTTTGAAAAATAGTAAATTAGAGTACATAAAGAATATGTTAACTTTAAAAAATGGTGAATTAGAACTAATAAAAAATAATTTAGCTAAAAAAAATTTAGAGATATGCTCTTTAGAAGCTAAACTCAAAAAGCTATTGCCCTACAATAAATCATCATCAAAACAAGTCAAAATTGGAAGTAGGTCAGATAAAAAAAATGATAATAATATATTAGTTATGCAGTTTCTGCCAAAAGATCTGGACTCTTTATCTCTTGCAAAATATTTTGTATATAAGCCTAAGACAGAGAATAGTCAAGTAGATAGAGATATCCAAGAATCTTTGACTTAATAAAATTTAATCAGTTTAAATGATAATATACCTAAAGAATCAGAGATCTCTAATAAGAAGCGAATAAATAATGGGCAGGCACGAAGTAACATTTCTTCCAAAATAAGTCCATCATCGTCATATATTATATCTGAGATAAAGAATAATAATATACCAATAAAAGAGATTGAAGCATTACCTGTTGTGATATTAGGTGCTGGTAAAGCTTTGGTTAATTATAAGTATCAGATTCCTCTTATTGTTAAGCTTGTTGTTCTTGTTATAATAATGATACTAATTATTTGATATATATACAAGCATATTTGGAGTAAAGAAAAAAATAACATATATGCAGGAAGACAGGATAAATATTTGCCACAAATTATTGAGAAATATAAATTACCCCAACCTTCTCGCAATTTTTACTCAAAGCTAAATTTATTTAGTTAATAATAAGTATTAACAGATTTATAAAAAATATATAAGTTAACTATATATCTTTTTTTGAACTTGAGAAAAAAAGGAAATAAACATGCAAAAGAACTCAAAAACAGGATTATCTCATATGAAACTTTTTCTTATAAATATTGATGAGGCTACAAAGCATACTTCATCACACTGTATTAGACATCTAGCAATATTATGGCCATTCGCTAAGCTAGTTACAGGAAAAGTGGCACAGGTAAGACTAATATACTTGAAAATCTTGTTCTCAGTAACAAAGCTGAACATATATATAAAAGAAAAAAGGTGAATCTAGATATATATGGTATGATGATTTGATAGTTTGTGGTTATTATCCAGATAAACTGAAATGGGCATTTGTTAGATATATGTATAAACTAATTGCAAGCGATTCCAAAGGGCTATATTATAAAGAGATTATATCTTATCTGAAAAAATTCTTAGTGTAAAATCTTTTTTCCCTGAAAGAAGTACTGTTATTATCTTTGAAGATTTATGTGTTGCTCCTGAGTCTATATAAAATTGAATTATTCTATTTTTCACACATAGATGTTATTGAAATATTTCACCTATATTTACTATGCAAAAATATCATTATATCTCAATGATTATACGTAAAAATCTTTCTTATATATTAATATTTAATGGTAGTAGTTCTCCTCAAGATGTAAGAAGTTAAGAAATGATGGCTTTATATTTTTGATGAGCATTATGTTCGAAAGAAATCTATTTTAACGTAAGAATAATGAATCATAATCATAAAAAAACTCTAATTCGGTTTGCAAAAATACTTACAGAATTTTTTCGATATCTTTTTTATAGCATAAGATCGGATTTTTTTTGACTTGTTCAATTGTCGACTTCTGAAAATTTTGGAATTCTGAAGAGAGATTATAACTCTCATAGACTCACTAAAAAGTAATATTCACGCATGGTTATTTCTAGCAAATGGAATGTAATGAACATATTGGTATATATTTACATCGTCTTTAGAGACAGCCCTAAAATCAATTTGATTAATGACGTTCTCCCACAAATAGCACAATTTGTGTCGTTCTAAACAAATTATAGTTAGTACATAATGGCCTGGCTTTGCCTGCATTTGATAAATCAATACCTTTTTTACCTTTTTATCTAATAACTCCTGAGCGTTGAAATATTCCAAATCAGAATTGGATGAAGCCAGGCAAAGATCATTATTTTCTTGATTTATTTTCTGACTCAACTCCCTTAGACAAGGTTTCTTCGAGAATTTTTGATCACCAGTTTCTTCCGGAAGGAGATCATGTATATGTTTTCAAATCGCATTGCCAGTTTTATTGATTAAGGTCTTATCAATAGAGGTCTGGAAGAATGGCTTGGATTTAATAAACTTAATAAATTAATAGACCAGCCACCATAAGCAAACAAGTCTAACAAACCTTTCTTTCTCAAGAGTATGAGCACGTTCCAATTGTTGAAAATAATTATTGATGCTTTGCTTATAATAACCTTTTTCGTAATTTTGCTTAATTTCAGTAAGTTTGAGATCATTTTATAAATTTTGAGGCTCTCACTGAGAGCGGAGTACCAATTTGAGACACCTTTCTTTTTCGAGAAGAAGTCGAACTTTTCAAAAAATGTGATCGGTGTAGGTCTTTTGCTCTTAATAAAAAAATCAATGTACTGGGAAATCAAGATTGCCCTTGAGTCTGACATTAAGAGAAAAATTTTTTGTTTATCAGGGGTGTATCGCGTTTTTTTATGCACAACCCTGCTGAGCACCCATGTTTACTTGTCGATCACTGTGTACATGTCACGTTTAGTTTAGTAATAATAATTTATACGTGTTTTTTCTGCTACTTATTTTGCCTGTCAACCGTTGCTTGCACCTAGTATAGTATAATTTATAGTATAAGATAACTTTGTTTCTTTCGCTAACTGTGCTAAATTTTTTTTCTTTTATCCCTGTAAAATAGAACGTGTCCTGTAAGATGTAGTCTGGCATAAGACGGGCAAAAACTACGGTTATTCTTTATCAGAAGGTACGTTTGTGACCAGATTCTCTCACAGAAGACAGTATGACTACTGGGTGTTCTGAGGAACTACGGTTATCCCATAAGCTCTCGAGTTGTGGCTCACACTTGGTTGTCAAGAGTTATACTGTGAGCACGTACCCAGAATACAAGTTTTCCTTTTGATGCCTTGTAAGTATCTTAAAGCAGAGCTCTAATTATACTAATCCTTAACTTGTGCTAATACTTATTTTGTTATTGAATATTCTAGCGAAAGGATTACTTGACCCCATATATTAGGTCACAGGCAGGGTTGGTCAAAAACTACAGTTATTCCTACAGGGGCACCTGTCGTGACTTGCGTAATGGAAGACGATGCACTAACCGATCATTCTGAAGAACTACGGTTATCCCATAAGCTCGTTCAAAAGTTGTGGTTCATGATCGGTTGTCAAGAGTGTGTATTGTGTGCTCGATCACTTACCGCTTGGTCTTTTTTATCAAATCAAGCTATTATCATCGCTTTTAGATTTATTTTATTAAAGATAATATCATTTTTTATACAATTGATTAAAAGACCAACAAGGAAATTTACTTTATTTTTCTACTCTTTATCACATACAAACAGCAAAATGCATATACTTTATTCAAGCATGATATGAGTGAATGTAGATACTAAGACAGCCAAATAAAATCTGCTTCGAAAGGCAAATTTCATGGCTCTACAATTAATCAGGATATGATATTATTATTATTTCTATTTTTATTGAAATTATTCCTTCAATTGCACCTAACAGAGCCAGCAAACAAAACCAAATTAATCTAACTAGGAAAACGGGATCCGTTGGGTTCCGGAGCGCTGCTTTGTATTTGCAA